AGCTAAAAAGATGTTCACAAAAGCAGAGTGGCTTCTCTAGCCTTAAACAAGATTGAGAATCACTGCTTTAGTGTAAAATCACTCCCTGCTGGGCCTCATCTCCATTTCTCTTACACTGGGATTGGTAGGCCAGCTATCAAAGAAAACATCTGAGTAGATCGGTCTCTACAGAGGTCAGCACCAACCAGCAAGGCCAGGTTCCTTGCCTAGAAAACAGCTCTTCAGTTAGTTAGCACAACCTACCTAAACCGACGTCCACTTCCCTCTCAGGCAAGCCATCTCCTGCCCTCCCCTAGGACAAGCCCCCACTTTAGCTTCCCTGGACACTATGGCTGGAGTCCCATCCTTGACTTCCTCCTGTGTCTACACTGAAACGCAGCCAATTTTAGCCAGTAAATGTTCATCCCCTTAGAGGATCTCAGGTAAGGACAACACAAATCCACTCTTCTGCAGCAGCTCTAATGTTAGGGGTCTCAAGTTTTAACTAAAATGTCCTGACCTCCCTCACTGTGGAAAGGCCTAAAACAAGTCTGAAGGGTTATGTATTCGAAACAGACACTTGAGCTGAAAGGATGTTGGCTGCAAATCACCACGGGCTTGGTATCCAACAAATTCACATGGTCTGGTCTGTTAAGAGCACTGGTAAAAGCCCTTAACAACTGGCTCTCTGGGTAAAGAAAAAAGGAGGGGTGGGAAGCCCAGATTTGTGGCATTTGCTCATTTCATGGTATTAAATGGTATCCCACCATGGCAGATTTCAAAATATCAACTTGACATCAACCAGCTCACAAAATCCTGAAAAATGTGATAATTAGCGAGTATGAGCCAACACAACTGAGGATGCGGTCTGATGTCAGGCCAAAGAGAATATAAGTATTATTCACTTCAAATTTAGATATGTAAAACTGGCAAAAAAAATCCAAGTGCCTCCAGGCCTTCTTTTTAAACTTAGGCACAGATACTAGCAAGCTTTACCCGTATCAATAAACTGATACAGTCAATGAAAACAATACTAAATTACTGACCTTGTAAACAGTGTCCACATAATTTACTGTTCAAACTAGAGGTTCTGAGAGTATTATATGAGACAACATGGGTAAGCCAGAGCTGTGTTAGTCAAACTAGGACATGACTTCTTCTTTTGGGCTTCTTATTACTTAATGGTGGAAAACAATGTTTTATTTATGTAGATATTTACCATCTAGGCAGGTAACTTATTGAGTACCATGGGTGACTAATATGCTTCGAGGGGTACAAAGCTGTGTAAGACACGGTTCCTCAGAGGCTACCAGAGGCTGGGAAGGGTAGGGGGAAGTGGGGGACAGGCAGAGATTTGTTAAAGGATACAAAATTACAGCTAGGTAGGAGGCACAAGTTCTAGTATTCTATAGCACTGTAGGATGACTATAGTTAACAACGATACATAGTTTCATATATATGTATATGTATATATGTGTATATATACGTGTATACATATATACACATATACATATACTTCATATATATGGATATATATGGATAACTTCATATATATATGGAGAAGTTATCAGGCTTCTCCAGTAGTCTAGGAGTGATATGAAAAGAGCACGAATTAGGCAGTAGCAGTGGAAATGAAAAAAGTTTGCACAATCTTCTATAACTCTCTTCATATATATACACACACATATATACATATATACA